TACTTCCCATCCAATAAATCGCAATAAGCATTGTGCTTTGGTACATTTAATATGAAACAAAGTCTCAGATTTCAAATTCTGTCCATTGTATTGCAGTATTTAAACAATAAATGCCATTTTGGTGCTGTTTAATGTGGAGTGAGAGATCGCTGTAGCGCCTCCGTTTAACAGACGCAGCAGCGCGAGGCGCACGTGAACTGATCATCTCCTCCACATTAATACCAGTTTCAGCACAAAATAAACATGACTAAACATCCGAAGGTAAGTTAAAAGAAAGAGTACAACTTTACAATCCATATCCTGTCTCATGTAATCGCTCAATCAGTGTTTCAGCCGCACAAAGACGTCAATATAATGGCTTCTAAACAATATGTCACGTAACATCACATTTGACCATAACATGACCATAAACTCATTAGTCAGATAGAAAAATAAACTGTAGAGGGGCATTTTGCTTAATATATGCACCATATGACATTCATTATAATTTTTACTGTTCTTCAATGTTTAATTTATGTTTGAATAAATCCATCAAGTTTTGATGACAGCCACCATTTAAATGTTTATATAAAAAAACAAAAACGAATTGAAGTACGTTAGAAATATTAATATGTAACTGTAACTTTATTATTGTAAAAATGTCATTAATTTTAACCTTCAATATTATAGTAATGTTGTACCAACTGACTCTCGTGTATATTTTACAGCATTAGTTGAGATTTTTTTTCCTTGAGAAAATTTGGCATGTCCTGTACCTGATATATATCCAAAATAATCGATATTGAATCGAATCGAATCGGTAATCGAATCGAAAGCTTGTGAATGCGAATCTAATCGAATCGTGAAATTTGTGTCAAAACCCAGCCCTAGTTTTATTATGGATGCGCACGCTTTATTTGACGTGTTTTGGACTGTTGAACAGAAACATCCACCCACTGCAATGATAACGCTTGGAATAGCCAGGACAATTTTTAATATAACTCTGATTGGATTTGTCTGAAAGAAGAAAGTCATATACACCTAGAATGCCTCGGGGGTGAGTAAAACATGGGCTAATTTTCATTTTTGGGTGAACTAATCCTTTAAAATAGTACTGTCAGGATTTACTAAAGATGCGCAGTGAAGAATTAGTGCTGAAAAGGCGTGGACAGTTAAAAGCGGTTGACTTTATTGAATATGCATTTGTAGGAGTTTCCCTTTCAGACGCAAAATTTATGGGAGGAGAGTATTCAAATGAATTATGCAATGCGATTTACTAACGTTTGCTTTCATCAAATTACTGGTATTTGCACCATTATAATGCCCCCAAAAAAGCACATCTTAAACTATTTTGCACCTGTGTCGTAAGTAGATCACCCACACCTGATGAGCATCGGCTCTGCTTGTTTGCGACTACGCTAATTTGCGCTGCGCTTGGTATATTGCATTGGTCGATATGTAAATGAGATGTTGCGTCTGTGTTCTTTAATTTGTGCATTGTCAGTAAATCACCCGCAGAAATTTCCAGGCCCATTGGCGCTGTTTTGGAATTGTGCTCTAATGCTAATTTGCCCTGTTTAGTAAATCTGGCCTTTAGATCATATATAAAACTGAAAGGCATTAAAGGGATAGTTCATTTAAAAATTCCATCAAAGCTGCTTTGGACCCCACTGACTATGTGTGAGTAAATGATATACAAAATACATTTTAATAAATTTAAATACATTTTGATATACAAAATACATACATATAATTGCAAATTAAATTAAAACAGCTTTTTTTATCACTTAATTTAGTACTTCTCAGGTTTTCTCTCTATTTCTCATACTTGGACTCACAAAACCAATGTAATCATTAGTATTCAAAGGTATTCATACATAAAGTGTGGTTCTAGTGCACATGCATTTTTGTACATTTGTAAATGCATTAAAAACTCCAATAACAAAGTATTTACAGCATCTAAATTCTAAAGATTTTACAAGTATTTACAAATCCATTTTGGGGTTCATAGAATTATGAATACTTGTTTATTTTGTTGTATTTATAATATGTGAAATTGAACACCAAGAAATTTGTAGCAGTTTCATTCTATTCTGTATGATTTCAAAAAAGAACAGCAAATACACATTCAACAGATTTTTAAATGTTTTTCAAAGAAATGTCTTCTGCTCACCAAGGCTGCATTTATTTGATCAGAAATACAGTATAAACATTAATACTGTGAAATTCTATTACGATTTTAAAATTATTTTAAAATACCAGTTTTCTATTGTAATACATTTTAAAATGTAATTTATTCCTGTGATCAAATCTGAATTTTCAGCATCATTACTCGTCTTTAGTGTCACATGATCCTTCAGAAATCATTCTAATATGATGGTTTGCTGCTCAAGAAACATTTCTGATTATTATCAATGTCAAAAACAGTTGTGTATTCATTTTTGATGAATAGAAGAGAAAGATCGAAAGCATTTATTTGAAATATAACTTTTAAACTTCACTGTGACTTTACAGATCAATTTGTGTCTTTGCTGTATAAAGCATTAATTTATTTTTTAAAAATCGTACTTTTTCCAGTAGTGCATTTCATACTTGTAACTGAATTACACTGCAAAGTGTGAAAATGCTCGCACAAAGTTCCATCTGAATTTCATTAATACATAAATTTGGTCATTATTTTCCACTATGAGATTATGCAACTTGGTTGGTCATCTGCTATGGCTGTCAGTTTTAGTGCCAACCAGTTGTTTCAGTGTCAAATCAAATGTGCAAAAACCAACAAACCATCTGAAATACATGATGTGCCCTGTCTTTTCAATTCTGACGTGACATGTTCGTGTTTGTGACAAGCAGTCACTTCCTTTACAGAAAACATGAGATCTAACAAAAGAAAAGCATGTCACTATTTCCTAAGGGAAGAGAAGGTACTAAAACACAACATTATACCTCTAAGACAAATATGACAGTACTCCAACAGAGAAAAAGCACACAGAAACAAAAAAGCTCACCTGCAGCCTACAGTAACACAGTACAGCGATAATGCACAGTAAGATTACTGTAGCTAGAATTCCACCTGTGATTACCACTGTCCCGGCTGTCATTCGAAAGGCTCTCCATCAACACCCTAAAAAACAAAAACAAAGAGAGAAAGGCATTAGGTTAACGAGAAACGTCTATATAAAATTGTTTATGATCAAAGGTAACCCGCCATACGACCACTGTGTGTGCGACTGAACTCCATTAGCTTCAATCAAATGTGCCGGAGGAATTTTATGGACATTTCAGCGTGATAAATGTTTCCCAGCACCTATGATTTGAATGCCAAAATCATCACCCCACACGGATGAATGTGAATGGGCAGAACAAATGTGAGGAAAAGAGAGACTAAACACACCCTACGAGGGATAACGAAGGTCAGAAGAAGAGGAAATGATGGAGAGATAACCTTGGACCAAGATGACTGATAAAACCACAACAACAGTCAATATGGAAGGTCAATAAACAAAGATGTGGATGATAAAGAAGAAAACATTTGAAATGAATCTAGTCATCATTTGGCACATTGTGAATACATTATGTTGTTGTATTTACAATAAATGGAATTAAATATGTTTAATCAAGACACGACAAGCAAAAACATTGTTTTTCATGCACTGGGATTTTGAGATTTTTGTCTATTTTGCTTCCATAACATGTCTTCTTTCCGACAACCCTACAAAAATGTAATATTTAAAATACATTTATTACATAGTAAGCGTATTTCAAATCTATTAACATATTTTCCGACATAACATTCGAGACTTACTGATATAAAAATAATAATTAAACTTTATTTGGAGTACTACTTGTGTACAATGCACATATTAAACCTAAAATGTCACTATTAATGAGGATTGTATGACCTCTTTATAATATCAGTCTTTAAATGCAAGATATTTAAAGTGTACCTGAAGTAAACTTGCAATAGTTCCACTTTAGCACAATCAAATATACTTCAGTGTCTTTAGTTGGACTTCAGCACAACTTAAGTGCATTAAGTACAAAATTAGTTGTTCCAATTTAGCAGACTTTAACAGTTTAGTATACTAAAAGTACAATTGAAGGGTATTTTTATTAAGCACATAAATATGCAAATGTATTTGTACTATACTTAGCATGAAATAAATGTATTTCAAATATATTTTAGTACATTTATTTTTCACTAGGGAAATTGAAATTTATATATTTGCATCTGTAGATTTCAATTACAACACATATCTTTAAAGACCGTTTTCTCATAATCAACAATCTTCACTTCAGTAGCACTTATATACAGCAAACTTTACAGTTGCATTCATATGTCAGACTCTGTTCCATGTTTTGTCTGTGTCTTGCTCCCCAGGTGTTCCTTTCCCATGTTTAATTTGTCCCAGGTGTTCCCCATGATGGTTCATTGATCCCAGGTGTGTCTCATCATCCCCTCCTCCTGTGTGTATTTAAAGTGTTCCCAGTCCCTAGTTCTCTGTCCGCTGTGAACGTTTTAGTGTAAACGTCTTCCTGAGTTCGTCTCCCTTGGTTCCTGTAAATAAAGTCTTATCAACATATTCTCTAGCATCTCCTCGTCCCTCGTGTGTGTGCAACGTGACAGAACAGCGGACCGAACAGTAAGCTGCATCCCTTCCCCGTGTTTGATTTCCGGTTTTTGTAAGTTTTTGTTTTGCCCTTTTTTTCCCGTGCGCTCCTCCACATCCCCATATGGAGGAGCGGTTAATGTTCATCTCAGTGGCTCAAGCGAGCCCAGACCCCATCGTCTTCGCGAGGGCGTTTGTGCCGCTCGCCCTCGCCAGCTCCCTCGAGGGGGAAACCCTCGCGACGCTGTTCCGGATCGGGATGACGTTCCACCATCCCACGGAGCTCCCAGACACCACCAACCTCGGCTGGAAGGATACAGTCATCCGGTGTCTGGAGAGTCTCCGATCCCGATCCAGAACCCCTCCGCCGGCCGTTCCCGGGTCGAGTCACCCGGCAGTTAGTGTGGCAAGCCCCGAGGACG